TAAGGGATCAGTTGCCAGGCTTGGTGTAGATGGAAAAACACTGTCCTGGCTGTATTTGTGACCTGGGCTTCCAAAGAAAGGGAGGCATCAAGGATCATGCCCAAACTCCTGATGCAGGGATCCAATACTAGCTGTACTCCATCAAGAGTGGGGAGATGAATTCTCCGACCTGGACCCCTCCTCCCTAGCCATAGAACCTCAGTCTTCAATGGGTTCAGTTTCAGTCATTTAACCAATGAGAGGGTGGGACCAACTGCCAAGTGTATCCAAGCAGAGAATTCTCTTAGCCCTTGCAAATCCTCTTGCATGCAGAGGTACAATAGCCAACATATTCATGCTACATTTAGCCCTGACCTGGATATGCTAGGCTAGCCCAATCTCATTAGATCTTGGAAGATAAGAAGGGTCAGCCCTGGCAACTATTGGATAGGAGACCTCCAAGGAATACTAGGGTCATGATGTGGAGGTAGGCAATGGCAAACCACCCCTGAACTTCTCTGTGACTTGATGGCAAACAAATAAAATGCTACATTTAAGAAAAACTAGGGACAAAATGCAGTTGCCTTACAAGGGTCCAAGCCACTGATATAATAATACTCAAATAATATACAGATATGGATGAGCCAAGATTGATTACATATATCAGTAAAGGTAAAGGTTCCCTTGCTCGAAAGCCAGTTGAATCCGACTCTAGGGTTGTGGTGCTCATCTCCGTTTCAAAGCCGAAGAGCCAGCGCTGTCCGAAGACGTTTCCGTGGTCCATGTGGCCGGCAGGACTAAACACCAAGGCGCACGGAACGCTGTTACCTTCCCACCGGAGTGGTACCTATTTATCTACTTGCAATTTCTTGCTTTCGAAATGCTAGGTTGGCAGGAGCTGGAACTAGAGACGGGAGCGCACTCCGTCATGCGGCACCCAGGTCTCAAACTGCTGAACTACTGACCTTCAACAGCCTGCAGTTCAGCGTCTTAACCACTTGAGCCACCGTAGCTCCTCCACATATATCAGTACAAGACCTTTTTTCTGTTGAAGCGTACTGACGGGTGGGAGAAGTATGCCTTTCACAGAGACATAAGGCAACAACAGGAGTCATTTAATGACTTTATTATCACTAGTAGGCTCAAAACTAAGCCGGAGAAGTTTGGTGAACAAACAGCTTCAATGACTGTGGATCAAAAACTATTTAGAGATAACGATAAAAAAAAATCAAAAAGGCTACTGAAAGATCTGGGACTCTGCCTGAATCATACAATAAACACCTGTTAAGCCAGTGAAACAGATTTGACTGAATATACAATAAAAGGCATTTACTATGGATTTATCAAGTCAATTCCAATTTGTTTTTATCTGAGGCATATCCTAAGTGGCTAAAATTATTATATGGAAGAGAGAGCTAATCACAGGAGCATGGAAATCTATTTGTGGATGGAGACTCAGAGAGAATCAGAAAATCCACTATTTGTGTGTGTGTGTGTGTGTGTGTGTGTGCACCCAGCAAAGCAGGATAAGGAAATGAATAGCAGAACATATTTAAGCACAACAACAAGTCCCATATTGCTATGGGATGGAAAGGGGGTGATGTTTTAGGTATCATTTAATACTCTTAAATAAAAAAAGAAACACGTGCTTGGAAGGTTCATGGAAATTAAGTTATCTGCTGAGACTGCTGAGCATCTAAAACAGGCATGTCAAACATATGGCCTGAGGACCAGAACAGGCCCATTCAGAGCTCTTATCCAGCCCACAAGCAACTGGGGGGAAACCAGTGTAAATGTGGACTGGGAGGATCTATATTAGGGTATTATACCCCTTACAGGAAGCCCATGGAAGGCACCCGTGGGCACAGGGCCCTGTGCAAAGCTGCTGGCTGGCTTGTCAAACATGCCCACTTATGGAGGCATGTGAACAGAGTGACTGGCCAGGCTGGATGCACTATGTGCAGCAGCCCAGTCAAGAGAGAATATCCTGGCACTTATGTAAGGGGCGCAATGGATGCAGTACACCAAGGGTAGGAGGTGGAGGAGGTCAGCAGAGTTGGGTGACCCAGAGCTGTTAACTCACTGACCCAAATGTGCATGGCTCCTCTCTTACCTCCCTCCCTCAGCAGTGCAGGGAGGATTAAATAAGAAGTGAATCGAAAATGCACGCATGCTCCCTCAGATCCCTGCATGCAAGCGCTGCCTTATGTGACAGTCTGAATGGAAGCGGGGATGGGGGGGGGCGTGAGTTGAAATTCAGGGATGGGAGCAGGCATTCAGAAAAACATTATGCATTTGTACAGAGTAGAGGCCAGCACTGCATGTGCTTCTGTGCACTTGCACATAGGGAGTGGGTGGTAAGGTTGGATAATGCCATGGAGCTGGCAGGAAATAAAAGTCTGCAAAAAGCCATTAAAGTGGAGCTGGCATCTTTGGAGAGTGGCAGCATTTGAAGATTGCTTGTGGTGCTGGGGAGCAGCACAGTTCCCCTTGTGGCTTAACCTTGTTGCTGAATTTGGGACTTACAGGGAGTTGTGGGATTGTGCTGCTGCCTCACCCCTCACCCCTCTCCCCTCCCCAAAACCTGTTGACTGTAGCAGTTTCTTAAAGGCAGGGCTTGTTGGGTTCCCCTGGTTGATGCTACTTGGCCACCTGTCTTTGACTAGGGCTACCAAGTACTTACCGCAAATTGGCAGGGACGTATAGTTCTTGGCGGGAACATTCCCACTTGGAAAACACAGGCGCTGCACTATCCTGTCGCCCAGACATGACATGGGCATGTAGCCAGGCAACGTGCCCAGCGACAGGATAGTGCGACGCAGCCATGTGACACGCAAGAATGTTCCGGCAGGGAAGCATGTGTCCCCCGCCGATTCGTAGATAGGTACTTGATAACCCTATCTTTGACTGCTGCATCTATGGCAATGAAATGCAGCCCTTCATGCTCCAGCTATCAAAAGACTTCTGAAATGAATTAGTCTTTAAATTGTTCCTGTTGTTTTGCCCAACCCCTGCTATTTCAGGTCTCTGGGCAATGTACAATAACCATAAAAACATCAACAAGATAAATACAATTAAACAGCATTACCAACACACTTTTTAAAGTCAGATGGCGAATAATCATTATTCCATTACAAACTGCTGGCTACTTCGTGGGCAGGAGGGGAAAGACATAGAAGAGCCATGAGAGTCTCTGGTTGTTACACCTTAATTGTCAGGCAATAACTTTTTGTACTGTGCAAAACGTCTTGTGCATATCCAGCAAAGGGTGGTTAGTTAGGTGCCAAGGAGGGGTGTTTGTCGCAGTCAGTGGCAAAATATCTCCAGTACCTGGCATTACATTTTATGGCACACACAATAAATAACACACTTTCAATCCAATGCACTTTGCAACTGGGATTTTGCTGTGTGAAATGGCAAAATCCACTTGCAATTGGTTGCTTAAGTGGATTGAAATGGCATTATTTAGTATCTTTGAAAGCGTCCATGGTCTGGCCCAACAAAGCAACATTTATGTCAGATATGGCCCTTGTAACAAATTAGTTCGACATCCATATCTAGAACCTTGTATCACTGGTCTTCTCTTCAGATATATCTCCCCTCTGTCAATGATTTGGAATACTTCTGCTGAACTATCCTTTCTTATTTGTTATCTCCATGGACAATGTACCTGTCCCTTGAGATTTTACTTCTACATCAAACTTCTAGTTCCTACTAGGGATGTTGAGAACAGACCTCTTTTGATCATTATGTTGAGATAGGAGAATGAGCCTTAGATGCCCTTAGCTCACGCCCGTCTGACTTAAGCAGCTGCTGACTAGGTTTGTGACCACAAAGCAGCTGTGGTTGCTAATTTTACTTTCTTTATAGCAGACCTCAACTTAGGTATTTGCTTTGAAAAACATTCATATGAAGATGCTCCACACCGAATCAGACCCTTCGCCCACCAAAAGTCTGTATTATCTACTCAGACTGGCAGCAGCTCTCCAGGGTTTCAGGCAGAGGTCTTTCACATCATCTCTTACCTGATTCTTTTAATTGGAGATGCTGGGAATTCAGCCTGGGACCTTCTACATGCCAAGAAGATCCCCGTACCACTGAGCCACTGCCCCTACTTTTTCTTTTTTGGGGTGGTGTTTACACACCATCATTTTTTAATTAGCTAGTGACTTTATTTATTTATTTATTTATTTATTTATTTATCTATCAGATGTATACCCCACCCTCCCAGCCAAAGCCGGCTCAGGGGAGACATGCTAGGTGGGGGGCTGTGTGCTAAACCCTGTACACACATCATCTTCGTTCGTTTCAGCATCTTTCTCCCAACTTGTGCCTAACTTGTATTCAAGAATAGATTGATAACTTTGCTTCAAACAGTACACATACAGTGAGATAGGGCGTAGGTGGGAATGGGGCACTGACTGGAACATATGACCTATGGAACACAAACGGAGCCACACAGTTATGCTGCTTCTAAATTACATTTCCACTGTGAAGTCAAATGTTACCCTTTCCACCAAGGTTTTTATGCTCTAGCAACTATGCAGTGAGTTATATGCATGCTGTTCAGGATCGTTCATTTTAATGCTACATCATAAAGAAAAGGAAACATAGAGCAACATAAAGCTACAGATTTACATAAAAGGTATCTTCAATCAATTATTACTGCTTTCTTCTCACACTCCAAATTTAAACCTGACTTCATTACCGTATGCAGGAAGTTTGGAATCAGATCTGGCACTTTCAAAGTATACCTAAATCTCCCCAGAATGCTGGTTCTTTAACTTCTTCGCCTTGATAGTGCTCTAATAACAGAAAAGACATCCCAATATGTTGCTAGACTGAGGGAAACCTACTGAACTTGCTGAAATTTCACAAATTTACTCACAGAAAGTAACAGAACAACAGTTCTCCTGACCTATAATCATCTACTAAAGTATCAAATGGCTCGGGTTTGAATACTGTATTGGGGGGTTTAAAACCCTTGTAGTTTTGAGGCTATTATATTTGTGTGCAGTTACCTTGGATGTGTAAGTATGTCCATCGGAACCACAAACAGAGCTGGAATGTGTAAGCGAACACGGCTTGCATTTTACTAAATTAGCTGGCCCAGTCCAATGCCTCTGGGGAAGGTTTCCTTTCTTTTGTCGAAGGCTGGAAAAAAGAAAAAGAGATATGCTACTTAAAAAAAAAGTATTGGAGTCAGTCTGTACTACAAAATATGCTCAAAATCAATACTTTTGCCCATGCACATTTCAAGGCCAACCAAGATGTACCTTCACAGTTATTAGTTTGTAATTAATAGTAATAATCATTTCAAGATACAATCTTTTCAACTGAAAATAGAACTTAATCACAGATTCCATGTGTATTCGATCAGGGATGTACTGACTAGAAAATGAGCTGGGAAAACCCAGTCTATACAGATTGGCTCCTTAATACATGCCCAGAACATAGAAAGCTGGCAGTTTAGGGAGAAGAATTTTTAGCCTAAGTTTTCATATGACAAATAGCTTCCTAAATATATATGTATATTAATCTCTTAGTTGCTATGGTGGTCCTGATGAAGGCAGAAAGATAGGGTATAAATTTTGTAAATAAATAAAATTTTAAATGTCAGAAAATTATAAAAATAAACAATTTTCACTATAAACTGAATTATACCTACAGGCTTCAATCTTAAAACAACTGTTCACCGATTTAAATATAAGCAGAAATATTTTAAGTAGTACTGTTCTTCTATTGTTTTTCTATTCAGTCCCCCCCCCATTTCTAACAATAAACTATTCAAGGAATGCATAAATAAGCTGATTTTTAAGGTTTACTCCCCCCATAAAATCATCCCTGTGACTACTCTTCTGTATTCAAAAAGACATATACTACCATGTTACCTTCCCCCTGTTCTTTGTTATGTACTCTATTTTTTGATTAAGAGCATTTTCTGAAGCCTTTAAGAAGCTTCCACTGTACAGCTACATCTAAAACTTAAGTAATAAAGGGCTACTACAAAGGTGATTTTGATTATTTTACTTTTTCTTCCAATGCTTGCTTTCTTTTATTAACTTTATTCAAATACAGATTTCCCTTACTTGCTGAATTATAACATACTTTTGTATCACATAGTGGTAACATAAGATGATTCATGAACAGCTTTTTGAAAATTCCCCCTGCCCTGGAATCACCTGTTTTCTATTAGCTATATGTGACTTTTTCTTACAAGACTGAATTGGATATAGTTCAGACATTGGGGCCCACATTTTCTGCATCTAGCATTCGCTCCATTTTTTTTACCAAACCCACACTGGAACAGAAAAAGATGCGACTCAAAACCACATTCAAAGACCCCAGGCCAACACCATACTGACTGCACAGTCACCCATGAATGGCCATAAAATGGCCATAAATCTATGCAGACAGTACCATAAAACTGAGAGATCAAAGGAAGTGAAACCAGCATGCAGTATGTAGGCTACCATAAGTGAAAGTGAAAGTGCCATGCAATGTAGAGGGAAATTTCTGTTTCAACGTGGGTTTGGTAAAACAGCGGAGCGAATGCTAGATGCAGAATGGGCCTGAATCTGTCACCCATTCTCCACTGTTATTGCACCTATCTATGCCTGCTCCAGTAGCCAAATATTTGACATTCCTGTAGTTTGCTGATGTCTGTATGTTTATCACATTAGGATATTACCCAAACATCGATTGTCAACTAAATAATAACATTGAGATAAATGTATTTCTGTAGTATACCAGACTCACTGATAATACAACCAGGGTATAGTCTTGACTTGAATTTGAAAACAGAGTTGTGGAGATGGTCACAAATTTCAGGCATGGCAAGTCAGATAAGTGTTGTATTTTAGAAAATACATTTAGAGCATTTGTTTTGAAGTTCTTTAAAAAGGTTCTTTGAATGATTCCAGTTGATTTCATTTTAAAAGATTATTTACTGTTTAATCAAATCGTTGCAGTTAATGAAATTTGAAATTACCCACATTTCTTATTTTGCCATGTATTACAGAAATGTTGTTCTAGCCCTGATTAATCCCATCAATTCTTTATTCTGAGGGATCGCTCACATTAGCAAGCCCTCAGGACACATTTTTGAGTATAACTAGCTCAGCGCAACTCCAGTATGTTGTTCATGTTCTCTTGGGCACCTATTAACACGCACCCCCAGTACACTAGGTCTTTCTTCTCGGTGAAGCACTGGTTCTTTTACCATCTCTCCTTCTTCACAGACATCTCCAGGAAAGGTAGCTATCACCTCGACCCCCACTACTATCCTGCTCCTCTCTTTCTTTCCATAGATCTTGTATATCTATATCTATCTATCTATCTATATATATGTATGTTCCATGTGAGCTGCTTGTGCGTTACAATCCCTAAATATCCTTTAATAAAACATTCTCTATTTTACTCTTGGTCTGGTTCTTAAGAGCTCTCAGAAAGGGAAAGATCCCTGAAGACTTAGGTAAGACAATCCTCGCTATTACCCCACCTCTAGCTAAGGCCTCCCATTTAGCTGATTTCCCCCACAAACTGAAGTCAGAGACTCAGCTTGTTAAATCAAAGCTGGTAGGGGTAACACATGAATCATGTTTCACACTTTTTTTAACCTATAAGCACATTTGGAGTTGTAGCAGGTGCCACACCAAAGTGGTTGCTAAAGGAGGTGAGGCCAAGCACAAAAAATTGTGTGTGGTGGGGGGAAGGGAGGTGAGGTACAATAGATAGACGTGGGGAAAATCGGGCGAAGCTGCGGGGCAAAATGCGGCCATGCGGCAAATAGTGGCACCTACAATTGGGGTAAAGGGAAGAGCGAGAGCAGAACAGCAGCTTGTGGGAAATCGGTCTCTGTTTAAGTGGAGATGGTAAGGACTGAACCAGATGCAAAACATGTGAGCTAATACTCAGTCACAGGCCCTTCCCATGAGAGTCAGAGAGACAGTTCTTCTTTTACAACACCAAAGAAGTTGCAGTATTCTTTCATCAGCAAAGTCTGTATCTGCCTCAACCATCACAGTAGTGTGCACAAGAGTAAAGGCTTCCCACATGTTTTGAATGTTACTCAAGGAACACTCTTGATTACTCCCATCTTTCTCAGCATTCCACCACACACCCAGATGCAGGGCATGCATCTGTAGCATATAATCCCCTATGAACTTGCTATTGCATTGACCATGATAGGGAGAGGGACATGGCTTAGACCATGTCTTAGACTTCCTAACCGTAAGAGTGGTTGAGCGGTGGAACAGACTGCCTCAGGAGGTGGTGGATGCTCCTTCGCTGGACGTTTTCAAGCAAAGGCTGGACGACCATCTTTTGGGTCTGTTGTAGGGCTATCTTTCGGCTATGCTCCTGCAGAAGGCAGGGGGTTGGACTAGATGACCTGCAAGGTCCCTTCCAGTTCTAACATTCTATGATTCTATGATCTGTTACCCTGAAGGCACTTCCCAACAACAAGACTGCCTGTGTCTCATACTCCCATAGACTGTAAGAGAAAAAAATAACCTCCGTTCCTGCTTTGTGAAAGATATGCAAAACAACTATTATTAATTCTATACACTACCATTCTCACCAAGAACATTTTGCTCTTCTTAGATGACTCAGCACATGGGCCATGTAGATTCCAGTTTATGACCCCAAAGAGAGATCGGATGCAGCCTACTTCTTTTCTAAAAAGTGTCTTGGGTTCTGTAAGGAGACTCCATTGATCTTTTGCACCTCTGATTTGGGGGCTTTTGTTTTGCTATAAAATACGGTGTGAGCACTCTTTATTGCCACCCCAGGTCTCCCTCCCTTGTCTGCAGTTTCTTTGGTCTCTACTGGCCTCAGAAAAGGGAATGAGGGGAGAGGTTAATTGTACTTTGCTATCTACTTCTTTGTTAGGGACTAACAGCCTTCCTCCTTCTCCCCGGCCAGTTGTTGGAACCCCTGTTTTATACAACTCTCCAATCTAGACTCTGCCCCCTTGGGTCCCAAGGGCCAATCACCACCCTCCATCCTTCCTTGTCTTGCAGTCTGGTATGCCTAGATCAAGACACCCTGGAGGCCTCCTCCAGCTGACTATGCCCCTGGTCCGCTGCTGATGTCATTGGCGCCCAACATTCATTGCAGACTTGGGCTGCAGTGACAGCCACCACCCTGCTATTTCACCCACCTTGGGGCTCTCTGGCTGCTCTGAGGCCTGCTCTGGCACTACCCTCAGTCCCCATCTGGACACTTGGGTGATTGCGGTGGTAGGCCCTGTGTTTCAGGCCAGAAGTTGTTGTCTGGCAAAGGAGCAGAGCCTGGTGTGGCCCACTCCCTTGTTGATGATAATGCATGTGGGTTGATTCCCTCTACCCACCACAGACTCTGGGTCTGGTCCAGGTAAGTGAACTGGAAACAGAGATGTCAGAGGGAGTAAGTCTGGGGATACCCTGGTTCCAGGACACACATGCCCCCTTAGGGAGGTTGAGGCTTGTGGGGATTCTTCTTCAAAGATCTGGGACAAGTAATCGGCATTGAGATGATGTCTCCCTTTCTGATGTCGGATGGTGAAACTGAAAGGCAAAAGGGTCAGATACCATTGCAAGATGAGGTCATTGTGTTACTTTATATAAGACAAGGGTGTATGTTCGGTGTATGTTCGGTCACCAAAAATCCTATAAGACAAGGGTGTATGTTCGGTCACCAAAAATCCTAAATATAAATACACATTGATGGGGTCCAAACTGGCAGAGATTGATCAAGAGAGAGATCTTGGAGTTGTAGTAGATAACTCACTGAAAATGTCGAGACAGTGTGTGACTGCAACAAAAAAGGCCAATGCTATGCTGGGGACTATTAGGAAGGGTATTGAAAACAGATCAGCCAATATCATAATGCCCCTATATAAATCAATGGTGCGACCTCATTTGGAATACTGTGTGCAGTTCTGGTCACCACACCTTAAAAAGGATATTATAGCTTTGGAAAAAGTGCAGAAAAGGGCAACTCGAATGATAAAAGGGTTGGAACACTTTCCCTATGAGGAAAGGTTAAAGCGCTTAGGGCTCTTTAGCTTGGAGAAAAGACGACTGAGGGGTGACATGATCGAGGTTTATAAGATTATGCATGGGAAAGAGCAGGTAAAGAAAGAGGTACTTTTCTCCCTTTCTCACAATACAAGAACCCGTGGGCACTCCATGAAATTGCTGAGCGGTCGGGTTAGAACGGATAAAAGGAAGTACTTATTCACCCAAAGAGTGATTAACACATGGAATTCACTGCCACAGGAAGTGGTGGCAGCTACAAGCATGGACGGCTTCAAAAGGGAATTAGACCTCCAAAGCGAGGCCCGAGCGGCTTGCCGCTTGGGCCTCGCTGCTCTCTTCCCCCCCAAGCGGTGGCGGTGGCGAGGGAGTTTGCAGAGTGTTCACTGCGCATGCGCAGGGGACGCTCTGTCACTTTTGGGGGGATTTAAGTATCCCCCCGATATTTTTTCAGGTTTTTAGATTTTTGTGCACACCTGGGGACTGCTCCAAGTGTGCACAAAAATCTCCCTTCCCCCCAGGTGCTCCCGATGCGCGGATTTAGGTATCCGCACACAGGGGGCGCCTTTCGCTATTAGATATATAGATATGGAGCAGAGGTCCATCAGTGGCTATTAGCCACAAGGTATAGATAGGGGCTCTGGGGCAAGTGATGCTCTGTCTTCTTGGTACTGGGGGGGGTCACCAGTGGGAGGGCTTCTAGTGTCCTGGCCCCACTGGTGGACCTCCTGGTATTTTTGGCCACTGTGTGACAGAGTGTTGGACTGGATGGACCTTTGGCCTGATCCAACATTGGCATCTTTTATGTTCTTATGTTCACCAGGGTGAACTGGTCATTGGTGACATAATATTGGAGAGTCCCAATGACCCATTTAATAGCTATGGCCTCCTTTCCAATGGTGGCATATTTATTTCAGCAGGTTGTAGCTTTTGACTAAGGAGTAGAATTGGATGTTCCTCATTCTCAATTTCTTGCATCAGAACTGCTTTGAGTCTGGCATTAGAGGCACCCATATATACTTGGAAAGGTTTGCTAAAGTCTGGGTTTTTCAGAACCAGATCACATGAGAGGACAATTCCCAAAGCATGAAAGGATTGCAAGTGAACTGGGGTCCAACTAATCTGTGAAGGCTGGTCCTTACATAGGCAGTCTGATAGGGGGCTTGCTAGTGAGGCAAAGTGGGGGGAACCCCAGGAATTTTCGCATTTGCTTCTTGGTAGTGGAAGCTGGACTCTGCTCCAGTGTTCATACCCTCTCTGGCAGTTATACTCTTCAACTAAAACTCCCATGTATTCAAGTTCATGAAATCCTACTTGGATTTTCTTCAAGTTGGCCTTGAGCCCTACTTCAGCTACGGCATTTAGAAATACCTTGAGACATTGCACATGAGAAGGCCAGTCATCAATCTCAGCACAGGTAAAGTCTTGACATTGGATTAAGACTTGATCCACTGAATGCCGGAAAGTGGCAGCTGCCCCATGCAAGCCAAATGGCATCACTTTAAATTAAAACAACCCCTGAGGTGTAGCAAAGGCTGTCTTCTCCTTATCTGTTAGGACCAATATCCTAATTGTTGCCAATATCCTTTTGTTACCGTAAGTCCAAAGCCGACCGATATTGAATGGTTCCTAGCTGGTCAATCAGGATATCAGCATGTGGCATGGGATATATATTGAACTGCACAATCTTGTTGACCTCTCCATAATTGATCCAGAAGTGAACAGTCCTGTCTGATTTTGGCACCAAAATGATGGGGCTATAGGAGGGTTCAATTACATCCATCCACAGAATATTTTTTCCTTCCCACAACATGGCTTCCCACTGTTTGCATGGTAGAAGTCTCCAATCAGCCCAGGGCACTTGACCCAGAGATATATGTATGGCATGGAACACGGTGGTAGTTCAGCCTGCCTGGCATGAGAAAACCTTTGGTGTTTGCTGTAAAAGCTCCTGCACCTGAGCCAATTGGTCTGTGGTCAACTCATCATCTAGAATTGGGGCTTTTTAAAAATGGATAGTTTCCAAAGTAGGTTGCCATCAGGCAATTCAGTAGGATCCTGGAGAGGTTGGTGGGAGCAATTCTGGGGATACCCTGGTTCCTGGACATACAGGAACTGCTCTTCTGTTTAATCTCCTTTGCTAGAGTTTTGACATTGTCATAGTCACCACAGAGCTGGGAGGAAATGGGGGAGGGAGGAACACATCTCCAGGGTGGCCACTGCATTTTTGGCCAAGATGAAAGTAAGTTGGCCATGATGGACAGGGTGGGAGTCCAGCCTAGAGTTCCCCTCTCCTGGCACTGACCAGCTGACCAGCAGGGGGACTTAGAGGCAGCAAAGGCCTAGGCCTAGGCCAGCATCATCATCACCAGCAACACAGTGATGTCACTTCTGGCATGCACAAGAAGTGACATCATCACATTGCCGGTGACACAGGGACGCCCTAGTATTTGGGCAAAAACTCTTTGGTAGAAGCTGTTTCTAGCATAGAATATTTGCCCAAGTACCAAAGTGTCCCATGTCACTGACAATATGATGATGTCACTTCCAGTGCACGCCAGAAGTGAGGTTGCCACAATGCTGGCCTAGACCTCTGTTTGCTGTTGTTAAGTCCCCCCCCCCACTAATTAAGTTCTCAAGCTCTGCTCTGTGTCCCCACTGAGACAAATGTCAACCAAAGGCAGGGCTTTTTCAGTGGTAGTGGCTCACCTTCGGAATTTCCTCAGTTGAGGCATCCCTGCCTTACTCTCCTTTAGGCACTAGCCCAAAATATTTACTTTAACCCAGCTGTTTAACTTTTAACATACTTTAAACCTGATTTTACAGCTTGCCTTATATAGGGTTGCTAACCTTTAGGTGAGCCTTGTTCTCCCAGAATTACAACTGATCTCCAGGCTATGGAGATCAGCTCCCCTGGAGAGAATGGAAGCTTTGGAGTACAGTCTATGATGTTTCATAGAATCTAGGATAAGCAAACACCCCTTGGCAAGAGAGCCAGTTTGGTGTAGTGGATAAGAGTGGCTGACTCTAATCTGCAGAACTGGGTTTGATTCCCCACTCCTCCACGTGCAGCCAGCTGATTGACCTTGGGTCAGCCAGAGTTCTCTCAGAACTCTCTCAACCCCACCTACCTCACAGGGTGTCTGTTGTGGGGAGAGGAAGGAAAGGTGATTGTAAGCTGCTCTGAAACGCCTTCGGGTAGTGAAGAGTGATATATAAAATATCCTCCTCCTCCTTTCCCCCCCAAATCTCCAGGAATTTCCTAAGCTAGAGCTGGCAGCCCTATTTATGAATATTATTTTACACTGCTGAAGTGGGAATTGCAGGAAAGGATTGGCACTTTGTATCACTTTCCTGTCTCTGCCTCAGCCATCCTGCTTTAACCATGATTTAAAAAGATAAGCAGTGCCTTACTTCACTTGCCTTATTTGATATTGGTTTTCTAGACATCAAAACACTGACTGGTATAAATTCCACATCAAACTTAGTAAAAGCAGTAGCTTTGTCCTTCCTCAAAAAACACATCAGACTGGTTAGCATATATAAGGAAGACATTTCAAAGCACAACTGAAAGACTTTATCATGGTTTTTAAAAGCACGTGTGTGGGTGCTCTTAAAGCAATTTCAACTCACCTTGAAATTTGCTGCACAATACCAAGTCTAATATAATGTCACATTCAGCTGTTAAAATAATAAAAATTCTATTCTTTCATTTCAGCTCCTGCTTTTTCCCCCACTTCAACTTTTGTCACAGTGATAAATAGTACTATTAGGAAGCTTGTGTCCACAGAAACTGCCTCATCACAGTATCATAAACTACAAAAAGAAAATCCAGCACTGAAAGGCATTGGTACCTTTATCAAAAAAGCAGCTCCCTCTGTAGCATGAGGGCGTTAATAATCAAGAATGAATTCACCTTCAAAATATCTATTAATTAACTGAGGTGAACAACACAATGTGATATATTCAACCAGAAGAGCCAGAAGGGGTGGGGTTGCTACTTTCTAGAAAAACAACCATCCAGCTTTTTTTTTTTTTGCTACTGGCTGGGGGAGGGGAACAGGAAGATTCAAATTTGTAAATCAGACTCTGATACAATAGGGCCAGTTTATGAAGGCTTACACTTTATGTGGTAGAACTCTTGCAAGATTCTAGGGATGGGCACAAACTGGGAAAATGGTGGTCCGTGGTTGATTTGATTACATGAACCATGAACTTTCATGAACTTTCTGTTTCCTGAATCGGTTCATGGTTTGTGAGTTCGGGAGGTGGTAGAACATCCCGCTCACAAGTTAGAGATGCCAAACTCACAGGGAGTCTTCAGCAGGCTCCCCTCCATGCACCCTCTAAGTTTGGCAAAGATTGGATTTGGGATGTCTAAGTTATAGCCCCCCAAAGCAGGTACCCCCAGGAAAGCTCAGCTCTAGCCTCCCCTTAAATCAGCCATGCAGCAAGCAATTCTTCCTAACTTGCTCTCACAGGATGATTAACTCCTTTCTCTTTCTGCTGCAAAGTGAAAGCAGTTGAGTCAGAGTGTGGTGTATATTTATATAGAATCTGCTCCCATAGAGCAGAATGGGAGTTCCATGGTTGACTCCCAGAGCGGCCAATCAAGCTATGGACAACTGCTATGGATGTTTCTAGGACTCTCCACAAGTCCACCCCCAGCGTTGCCTAGGAATTGATTGAATTGGCACCAGGCTGTCTGGAGAATGAACCACTTTAACAAACCAAACAACCCTTAATGGAAAAAAAGGCTGTTTGTTTTTGGATTTGGGAATGAGACAACCAAATGAACCAGTTCAAAACGAACCACAAACTGGCCTGGTTCATGCTTGAACCACGGTTCATTTTTTGGTTTGTGCCCATCCCTACAAGATACCAGGCCCTGACACATACAGTCAGAGTCAAGTGCACAAAGCATAAAAATAAGAGAAGCTCTGACTGCTAAGGGTCTAGATGAGACCAAGGTTTACAGTTTGCAAGCTGTATGCAAATCAGAAGTCTCATGCTATTTGAACTGTTTATATAGTACAATCTGCCTTGAGTCTCAATGAGAAAGGCAGGCTATAGATAAAGTAAACAAAGGAAATTAAAAGTGTAATCCAGTAAAAAAGGAATAAAAATGTACAGTCCACACATGGTTGTATGTGTTTCTTGTATTTATGTTTTTAACCAGCCCACAGGACTTTATTAGAATCCTAAAACTGTGTATTTTAAAAAAAGAAAAATTTAGTTGCTATAATTGCAGACGAACTTGAACGTGTGGGTGCTACTTTTCAAAGGGGAGTACCTCATGATCAACTAATGGCTTACTTCTCTCTTCTAAAAGCATGCTCTGATTCAGATGTAATGCTTTGTGTGCTATGGGAGCAGCATAGGTGCCTCTCTCCTCCACCATATGCCTAAAATAATACATGATGCAGATGCTGTTAAAGCAGAATTTGTAGGTTAAAGCAAAATCTGTAGATATGACCCTTCTGTTAATGCAGAATCTGTAAGTGTGACTCATTTTCTTGCTTAATTTGTAGAATGTGAGGCCCTTTCTGTTCTACATAGGTAGTGTCATTCACTAGCTATGTAAATGTGTAATGAGACATGCATGTGCCTCTTGGTGATTACAAGGAAGCACACTCACAGGTTTAAGCATCTCAAGGCTGAATGAACAACTGGGTGCCTTCTTCTTTGGTTTACCCTTTCATGATATGCAAAATAAGCTGTATTATAATGCCTTCAAGGCTTGTATTCTATTGTATTCTATTACTCACTAGGTGTTGCTATAGTACAATTTGCATTTTATGTGGGCATTTAATTTTTAAGCATTAACAAGGTAACATCCACTGAAAATACCTGTCCCCAGTTCATTTTCTATGTATGGATGAATAGCCTGTCTAATTTTGTAGGACAAGCTGAATTCATCCCTCGCAAAGCGGCAAGCATGGAAGGGTGAAGAAAAGTCAGAAAAGAACTAGGATCTGCCAGATCAAAGAACAACTGCAAAATATGATAGCAGGCATTCCT